TTGTTTTTTCTAAGTGAACTGGTCTATGAATCTCAGGAAGCAGTCGCAGTGATACCAAATTCCTAGAAAACTCCAGTAAACCCAGTCCTTTACTTCATCCCAAGCATTACCTAAATAGACCCCTCATCATATTTTCCAGGTGATGAAAAATTAAACCAGACTTAGAGATCATTACCTTAATTACTTGTAAATCATTATAATAGCAACCATTGTGCTCTCACCGAGGTTTAAGTTCATGGAAGACAATACTAAAAGAAGTTAACAGAGCACTCAAACATCTATGGAAACACATGGAAGTTATCGCAAAAACAAATATAAGCACACCAAAAAAACTTATCCTCGGATGAAAGAACAATGATCACACAACATAACTAAGTTGTGGAAGTCCCTAATATTCCGATTCCATCATATTTTTTGCAAGAACTTCCTTCTACCAGAGTTACAAATGCACAGACTGATAATCAAAATGCTTGAACTCAGACAATAACTGGTAAAATGAAGTATCTTTTTGCCTAAAACAATTATATGTATACTCCATTAGAAGATGGTATCAGCTATTTGTTCCCACATCGATCACCAAACCACATATATGCTCTAAATAAAAAAATAGCAATCCAAAGGTGCAGGAGTTTCACAGCTTAGTATGTTGGACAGAATGTCATTTTTAACGGTACAACGTGAATGAGGTACAAAAACTCTAATCTACTGAAGCTTGGAATACTGGATTGAATGTGCACAGCAATAAAATCAAAATGACACGTGCAATCAATGGAAAGTACTGAAATGAGTGAAGCTGGGCAGGTAAGGAAATGAGGCCTGATCATGGTTTCAATTTACCCCAATCTCAAATGCAAAGTCAATGCCAATCTACAATCATGACATGAAAGCTTTACAACTTAACAACTAAGTTTCATACAAAAATTTCATCAGCTAGACTTGCTACTAGCACTTCCCTATCTGGAGAAGTAGATTATGTAAATGCTCAATCACTGGACATCTATTTCCAAACTCATCTATGAAACTTTTTGGCAAGCAAGAAAATATTTTGGTACTGGAAGCAGATTATGTAAATGCTCCAATGTTATTAATCTCGGATGGCGGTACATGGCGTTTTACCAAAATTCCGCCATTGGTGGTCTATGGCGCCGCCATGACCGCCACCATTCACAAATTTTGCATGGCAGATTGTTAAAAATCCGCCACGCCATACCGCCATGGCGCCGCCATGGCCGCCATTTGATAACACTAAAATGCTCAACCATTGGACATCTATTTTCAAACTCTTCTATGAAATTTTTTGGCAAGCAAGAAAACATTTGTGTACTGGAAGCGAAGCAACGGACAAAAAAGATAAAGTTAATGAGAAGTCACAAGATAGTACATCGTATTATAGGGTGTAAATAAACATGACAAAGCTAAAGTACAGCTCTATTTGTTCATTTTTGTTGTGTTTTAGACTCCGATTGAACTCATTAACAGTTTTCAGATTCTGTTCAGCTCAGATCATTAAAAAACTTAGATGTTTAATTTTCATTTTCAAACATATTCAACTATAAATCCAGATAAAGAAATTAAACATACAGACTAAAATAGATTATAAGGAATCACATTAAAAGTGATTCAACCAAAAATCTACAGAAGTTGAGGGAACACGGGAAACCAACAAAAACGTACAAAATACTAATCAACTGAAGAACCAATACAATGCCAAAATAAATGAAGCATGAAACAAAATAAGCTCAATATTTTAACATTGTCCAAACCTAATAAGTTCTTTAATTCAGATAAAAGAAGCTTCAATTTGTTACATTGTCCAGAGGAACCCACGATTATCAAAAATCTCATTATTTATCTTACCCGTATCTTCTGTGTTTTTTCTTCCATACCAAATCAAATGCTCATCAATTGGTTAATAAAATCTCAGGACCAGTTGAGGGCAGCTGACCTTATTAACAGTCAAATGGATCCAAAAGCTATTCATTGAGTATACACAATCCAGATAAGGCACTAAATGTGATTAACTAGGTTCAGGCACAAGTATTTTCAATTATAATCGACGAGTTACTCAACACTCATGATCTGATCGGTACTTTCGTCCCCAGAAACATAGAGTGCAGAATTCAAAAAACTATCAATGTATTGGAAAGAAAACAACAAGAACTGATCGGCAATCAAAAAGTTAAGGAAATTTGATAGGTGAGAAGCCTTACGAGAGAACTTGTGGAAAGCAAATTTGAGTAATCGTGCGAGAACGGACGGTGGAGAACGCCCGATCTCGTGAGGGAACGCCGGAGCAGATCCGCGAACTGAACAAAGAAAACTAAAGACGCAAGGTCGATGCCCCTCGTTGGCGCTGATCTCTCGTTCTAACAATAGCTGATTAATGAGGCGTCTGCCTATATGCTAATCTTCGGTTTAAAAGTATTAACTAGTACAACACCCGTGTATTATACGAGTACTTGATAAAAAATTATTCTTAAATTTTAAAATTAATGAGAAAAAAAATTAATTTTATTTACTTTTTTACAAAAAAATATATATTATATATTTTAGAATAACAGTTGTTACTTGTGCGACTTACATGTGTTATATTATAGTAAATTTATAACTTATATCATATAACTACTTGAAATATAGATATATTAATTGATAAATAATTTTATTTTTCTAATTAATATTAAAAAATAATTTTATCATTGTTATAAAGATAAATATAATTTTTTTTTACATACAATATAGATGTTAAATCGAAGCTCATCAAGAGATGATTAATTTTGTTGATGACAGACTTCATTTTACAAGGTTAATTAAGGGATTAATCGTGTTATCTTCTAAATGATCCTTCGAATTTATTTTCAGCGGCTAACTTAGTCCAGCTCGGCACAAGAAAACAAGAACCGACCTTGAACAATTAAGTGATAATCAACTTCGCACAAAAAGACAAAGAAACCGACTTCGCGAGCATTGTGTACTGTAGATTATCCATCGAAACCGAGATCCGAGATGACCGGATTCCAAAGTAGGTAACACAGCACACTCCTAATTGGGCCACCTAATCAAAAAGTAATCATTGTTGCCCCCTCGACGCCTTACAAACCGCTTAAATGAAGCAGCTCAACATTACATGCGATCTGATCTACCTCGTATAAAAAGTCAAAATCGTCGCACTATAAATAACAGAATTTATGATGATGAGGGGATCTTTTACGCACGTTGTAAACGGATGAACAAAATAACTCGGTTTTATGCTAAAAACTGACATCATGTACTATCAAAAATTCGACAATAATACAAAAATTTATATCGTTTCCCTTTAATTACACCTTGCTTTTGTTTATTTTGAGTTATTAAATTTCATACAATAACAGTTTGACGCTAGAAGGAGCGCGGCCTCATAAGTTATTTGAGGTTAACCTTCGATATACTATACATGAAATATATACTGCTACAAGCAAATCTCAAAACAATCATTATGGCGAATTCTGGGCGTCAAGAAAGGAATCCAGAAGTTGGAACCAGTAGTAATCCTTTTCAATCTACTGAAGAGACGACTGCACCCTCCATGACTATAGATTACTCTGTTCTGTTTCAAGATCCAAAGTTCATCAGAAATCTATCTGATTTCATGGCACAAACAAGGCCAGGACCATCTGTTACTATTCCTGGTCAAGTTCTTGTTCAAATATTCCAATAAGGCAACAGACGCCACCTGTTCAAGAATAGAACAACCATACTGTTGCTTCTCATGCAACCTCACAACTGCGAACTCATACGTCGCGAAGAGAAATTGCAATTCAAGGTCACGACCAAGTTCCTGTTGATAATAATCAGCCAGAAGGTAATCAACCTGAAATTACTGCTGAAAGTAACTCAGGACATCGTCGCCAACAACCGGTGCCTCTGTCACCGGTAACTTTACAACCAGTCAAACATTCCGACTTGCGTCATACTATTGGAAGAAATCGCCTTAGACACGAGTCGGTTGAACTGGAAATTTTACGTAAAAGAATCGCCGAATTAGAAACTCGGCAGGGAGCCGCTTGAGAATCTCATAGAAAAGCCTCCACCTCGGGTAATGTTTATCTGGAAGCTGAAACTCCATTGGCTCCTCAACTTACAATGGAACCATTATCTGGAAAAATTAAGGTTCCTCAAATCGGTCTTTATGATGGCACCTCGGATCCAGATGCGCACCTCGGTCAATATACTTCATGGATGGATCTTCATAGAGCAACTAATGCGCTGAGGTGTCGTATGTTTTTATTAACTTTGGGACCTCGGGCTCAAATGTGGTAGCACTCTTTGCCTCGCTGTTCAATCTGGAGATGACAGCAACTAAGGACCGCTTTTCGATCTCATTTTATTGGGGCCCGAGTATCTTTGATTGTAACGCCCCACTTTATTTTAGAGATTTATTAAATTTAATTAATAAAAATCAGAGTTAATTTTTCACAAATCTCATATTATATTTAAAACTCAGTGGGCGCTACTTAATTATTAAAACCTTTTATCCCAAAATAAAATTTCATCAGTTAAATTTGGAACTTACAGAATAGATAGTCATAAAATTTTACCAGCGTTCAATAATTTCCAAAACATAATTTTTTTTATAACAATTATAATCGATATTCCAAATCAACCAGTAAAGAAAAATCTAATACCACATAAGTTCATAAAAATTTTTTGAAGCAGAAATAAATAAATAAATAAAGTCTGCCCACTCGTCTTGCTTCGTCATCCGCCAACTGCTTAACCTGCATCCGTGAAGAGCAGGTGGGAGTGAGTACAGTTAACTATCGTACTCACACTATGCATATGAATAACATATAAATGGTATGGTCGCAGCATGAACATAAACAATCAATCATCCCAATCTCCCATCAATCGTATCAATAATACTCATGTGCACACCTATAGCAATAGACTACTAGCGAACTATATACCGAACTCCTTATCTAAGGCCTTACAACGAGTGTCCGGCCAGTAGGAGTATCCCGTCGGCCAAGGCCTCACCTTGGTCTTACCAACGGGGTTGTCCAGCACAGGGACCTTTAACCCAGGTCTTACGGCTCAAAATGTATCCAGCACAGAGATCTTTAACCCAGGTCTTACGGCTCAAAATGTGTCCAGCACAGGGATCTTTAACCCAGGTCTTACGGCTCAAAAATAATAAGGAGACTACCCAACGGGTACGTTCTATAGCTACGGGGATAACCGTTCGACGGCCGGTACAGCTCACATCGAAGGCTACATGATTCACAGGCATACATTGATCATACCACAATTTTAAACAGTAATAACATTTACAGCATAGACGATTTTAAATAAAACCCACCTGGTCGGAATCGAGACAAATCACAAATTGAGTGTAGGCGGCGAGTTCGACTCGTTAAGCACCTACATTTAATAAAATAGCCCTATCAAAGACTATTTGACAACCACTTAGTCCAACTAAGCTTACGTAAGTATTTAAGGAGGCATTAAATCAAGGAAAATCACATTTCCGAAAATATCACATAGATTTTGAAAACTTAACCCGGGCAGCGTTAGTAAAACCGACACAACTTTCAGCACACAACTCATATGATTATGAATCAAGTTGCATTGGCATCCTAAGATACTAATCTACAATTCTTTTGAAGACACCGAAAGCAAATAAGGTCCTTTAGCAGGTGATAAATCAACAAACATTCAAAAAAATGAGTCACAGTCCAAAACTGGGGTAATGCACTTGACCAGCCCTCAGTAATTACTCTCTAACTGGAGCTACAGACATGATTTTAATGAAATTCAAAAACTACATGATAGATAACTCAAATTTCTACAACTTTCATGAAGGTCACTTTGGCAAATAAATACATTTTTAATGAGTTTAAACACAAAACATTTGGTTCAGCAAATCTGTCAAGAACTAACATGTGATATGGACAGCACTTCAGTTTTTACAACCTAGACCGAGCTACAGACCTTAAAATGACATGGTTCAAGTTTCAAATTAAATCTTACGCATAACTCTACAACTTTTATTTAGAACACAGAAGCATTTAAGATCATTTGGATAGGGTAAAATCAGTTCACATTCCATATCAGATGTCTGCCAAAGTAATAAGTCCCAACTCATGCATGTCTAACTTCATACGAGAACAACTCGAGCTACAGAGCACGTATTGATATAAAATATATCTCATTTAGAAAACTGAACATAATACATTTCATTTTAAGACCATATTTTCAAAGAACAGGTTTATGATGGCCTAAACAGCGTCACAACAGAACAGTAGAAACGCGATTTCACATGAAATAACAATGAACACATATGACGAATATTCTAAGCTCGACCACGTTAATATGACTTTCTCGACAGCAAATAAACGAGTATATTGAGATTAACATAGTAACAAAATGATATTCAGTTTAACAAGGTCACGAGCATAACATGATAAACTAAACGACATATACGAGCCGATAATAATTCTAACCAAAATCCGACTTCAAGCAAATAATTCGGAAACACGTATGATATATATATATATCTATCATGTAATATACGAATACGACCGGAATAACGAGAGGGTTCGAAATGAGTTACCCACTTTTGAAAGTTCACGAACTAACGGAGGAAAAACGGACCGAACGACGGCTCGGCCGAACCGGACTCAGAAAACGGAACCGAACAAGGAGAAAAAACGAAAGAATAGTTCGGTTTGTGCTCGCCACGCAGCTGCGGGAAGGACGGCGAGATGTGAAGCTGCCGGCGGGGATTGCTGGTTCGTCGACGGAAAAGCAGGTTCGCCGGAGTTCATGAGCAGGGGTCGCCGGAGAAGATGGCGACTTGTTCTCGACGAGGGATGGGCTCGCGGTGGAGGGTGATGCAGCTGGTGGTCGTTGTTGCTGAGGGGTCGTCGGAGATGGTAGCTTGCGTGAAGACGACGAGCAGCTGCTATGGGACGTCGGAAATTTCACGAACAGCGAACAAGGGGGCTTCTCACGGCGCGGCAGAGCTGCTGGGATGGCGTCGCAGCGCGATGGAGATCCTGCGGTGCTGTCGCGGAGCGGCGGGGACTCTGTGCGCGGCGCGGTGATGAGGAGATTGCCGGACTGAGGTTCGGGGGTTGACGGAAAGAAGAAGAAAAAAATGCAGAGGATGTGAGAGAGGACGATCGATTCAGAGAGCAGGAGAGAGGGCGAGAGATTATGATTTAAGAGAAAGAATACACATGATAAAAGAGAGATTCTCGGATCAAGTAACTTCAAGAAGAGACAATTACAGCTATGCCAATCTGATTTTGTTGGTCTTTTGACGAATAAGACAACCAATAAATACAAGAATATGTATGTATATATATATATACATGATTAAAACTTGGTTTGACTTTTATCACATGCCACGTGAATCAGATT